CAGGAAAAACTAACAGTGGAAACACTGAAATTAAGTAACCATAAAGAAAGCAAAATGAGCAAAGTTAAAGTTAATTAAAATGCCAAAAGCAACAGTTCAAGAAAAAACATAATTTCTTAAGACATCACCAAAAGACTATAAATACTACATTATGATAAGGAGGAACAGAAGTTAGGAAAATCATCATGTTTATGCCAAAAGCCAACTGCATCAAATTTCATAAAATACAGAAATTACTTCAATAAACTATAACTGGCTACAGTGAACAATGTGCAAAATAAGACCAAATATTAAAGGGGCAAGGAGGACAATGGGATATCCAATTACTAAACAGAGCAGTACTTGCTGTGTAAAATCGAGGTCCTCCATCATTTGGAAATTAATAGGTAGTTACCAATGTAAACAGTCATTTTCTTCAATTAATCCCTTAATTTACTATTATTGCATCTCAATTCCCAATGATATTTTTCTGTATAATTTAATAATATGACCCTAAGTCTTTTTTGAAATGTTCAATACGGCAAAGCCTTCAAAGAGATCTCTCCAATGGCTAACTAAAATATTCTTGCAAGAACAGAAAAGATACAAAGACAAAGGCACAAAAATTACTCAAAAGAGGAATAGAGAGAAGGATGGGGGGAGAAGGTAGGAACGAGAGGAAAATAACCTGATAAATTTTAAGTCCAGAACCTAAAAGGAACTTAGAATAATTTTCAAGTAGACAAAACCAATGTTGTAACTGTACCTCACAGTGTCACTTCAGAGACCACCTGAACGAAGGAAGGAAGGAAGGTGCTACATTCTTCCTCTCTGGTCCCCACTTCTGCCCCAGTCTCATTCAGAAACCCAGGTTCCACATGAACAAGGAAACCACAGGGATCTGTCACCAACCTATAACTAAAGTTACCCTCGCTTTATCCTTACTCCCAGGAGCCATTCCCTCCTCCACCACTGTGAATGAAAAAGTCACTTTGAAATGAAAAATGTTCCAATAAATTTGGTTTCAAAGAAATAATATCCTTCCCTGTATACCTGTAAGTCTGTTTTTCATATTGAAAAACAATTTTCAACAGAAAGCTCTCTTAAGCTCTTTCTACCCAACCCTCCCCCTGACATATACTCACAAATCAGGATGACTTTTACATATTTACCAACATAGTACATGTTCAATATTCTGACTGACGCTACGGTATGATACACAGAGGTAGGAAAGGTAGTTGGGGAGTTAGGGAAATCAAACAGCAGTCACCAACATAATTATACATGCAGTAAGATTCAGCATATACTATGGCAGGGAGGGAAGGCTTCTTTACATGACTTCAGCTGAAAATGAGAGAAGAAATGCAAGAAATATACCAGTCAAGAATATTGTATCAATGAGATCTAAAGAGGGCCGGCGCTGCGGCTCACTAGGCTAATCCTCCGCCTGCAATGCTGGCACCCCGGGTTCTAGTCCCAGTCGGGGCCCTGAATTCTGTCCCGGTTGCTCCTCTTCCAGTTCAGCTCTCTGCTGCGGCCCGGGAGGGCAGTGGAGGGTGGTCCAAGTCCTTGGGCCCTGCACCTGCATGGGAGACCAGGAGAAGCACCTGGCTCCTGTTTTAGGATCAGCGCGGTACGCCTGCCGCAGCGCACCAGCCACAGCGGCCATTGGGGGGTGAACCAACAGAAAAAGGAAGACCTCTCTCTCTCTCTGTCCACTCTGCCTGTCCAAAAAGAAAAAAAAAAAAAAAAAAAGGAGATCTAAAGACTAAAAACCTAAATAGCAAAGTTAAAATAAGTGACTACTATAGATATAGCCTAGGAAGAGAAATCCCATATAAATAATATATGAAATTATTTATACTGAAAAATGAGTTGCAGTAAGAATTTAAAGTGCTCTATCTGTGGGCTGCCAGTTAAAATTTAAAAAGTGTCTCCGCATGTTGGATTTCAATTAGAATTCAATTAGACTTCCACTTTTAGGTATATTTGATAATATCTCCAGAGATAATAATGCAACCAATAAATGATGATCTTTAATTGCCATTTGGGAGTCTGATCACAGCACCGGAAAAATGCTCAGCCAGGCTTCCCTAGCTACTTCACGTGATGAGAGGAAAGCAGTAATAGGTAAGAAATAAGTAACATTCTCACATTCATGCTCTTCTAATTCTGTAACTTGTATACTGATTTCACATCTTCACAGTCTGACTTACAACATCTGAAATAATTAACAGAACACCATCTAAGCAGGATGAGTTTACTGTGAAAAGGGAGACAGAAACAGACAGAATTGATGTACAATAAACAAGGCAGAGAGGACTAGAGCTGTGATATAGATGTGAGAGGGAGGGAATAAAGCATCGTATCTTCTCAAAATGCTGTGGTTAAGTATAATTATATCTTGGCCCTGAATCAAGACCAGCAGGTTGCTGAAGCTGTTGGTTTCAAACAGGAGCCTAAAGAAATGTCTTTCTATGGTCTGTTGACCATTTCACAACTTCTGAAATGTAATGGTCAATTCATTGGGAAGAAACACCAGAGTTGTAAAAAAAAAAAAAAAAAAGTATAATTATATCAACTTGATCAAAATCCAGTATTTCTTATTCACTGAAAAGAAACATTAAAACATAAGCAATTTCCTTTAAAAATAAACAAATTTCAACCAAGGAAATTATTAGCAAAAAGATCTTTCTGTCTCTCCCTCTCTCTCTGTAGCTCTGGCTTTCAAATAAAAAAATAAATCTTAAAAAACAAAGAGAAAGATTTCAACAATATTTCTTAATAGTCTTCCTAGCCATCACTCTCCCATGCCAAAAATAAAAAAATTACAGTGCTTTTAAATATTTAAAGATTTTTGGTTCCTGAGGAGCACGGAGATCATAAGCCAAGATAGGCCGCATTACCCAAATCAGTGTGGATCTGTCTTCTTGCACCTGAGCTGTCACTTGAGAAGCCAAAGAGAGCAGCTCTTGGATGGATACATGAACCGCTGCAAGAATTACTCTCCCAGAAGAGAAATAGTTGATGCTGCCCTGCTGGCAGGATGTTTTTCCTGTTCTAAATCCTTCTAAGTCAATCTGATGCAAAATGGTGAGTCTGACTGTTCCACAGAACTTAAAAAGACCATCTGGTAGACACCGCAGAAGCCAATCTCAAATTTTTGAATTATTCTTCATAAATGGAATACAATAATTTGTATATAAGTACATAGCAAAGTATAAGCATATGATACTCTTTGCTCATAAAACATAAAGAAGCAACTTCTTTTAAAAATATTTAATGTTTTTAAAAGCTTTCATTTTTCTAGTATTTAAGCTTTAGGTTAACAGTTATGCAAATAAAAATGTCACTCATTGAGTCTGAACAATATTACACAGATCAGATACTATAGGTGTCATTGAAGAATTCCACAAAAGGTTCTTAAATGTGCAATAAAATATTCTAAATAAGCAAAGGTGAAAAGATCTAGGAAGTGGGGCCGGTGCTGTGGCACAGTGGGTTAACGCCCTGGCCCAAAGCGCCGGCATCCCCTATGGGCACCGGTTTGAGCCCCAGCTGCTCCACTTTCTGTCTAGCTCTCTGTTATGGCACAGGAAAGCAGTATAGGATGGCCCAAGTGCTTGGGCCCCTGCACCCATGTGGGAGACCAGGAGGAAGCACCTGGCTCCTGGTTTCGGATTGGCACAGCTGTGGCCATCTGGGGAGTGAACCATCGGATGGAAGACTCTCTCTCTCTGCCTCTCCTCTCTGTGTAATTCTGACTTTCAAATAAATAGATAAATCTTAAAAAAAAAAAATCTAGGAAGTTACAAAGCTTTATAGGAAGTCATGGTTCTATACATTTACTGAGATTTTTAATTTCTAAACAGTTTGAAATTGTAAAAAGTTTGTCAGGATTTTGCCTTTTATACTGATGATCTAGAATAACCACTCTCTCAAATGTCTCATTTCTCTGATTTTTTATAAATTTAAAGTTTAATGTTAAGATATGAATATTGTTTTACATTTTAGATGCAAAATAACGTTACTTAAAATGTACTCTGGGGGCCAGTGCTGTGGTGTAGCAGGTAAAGCTGCCACCTGCAGGGCAGGCATCCCATATGGGTGCTGGTTCAAGTCCTGGCTGCTCCACTTCTGATCAAGTTCACTGCTATGACCTGGGAAAGCAATAGAAGATGGCCCAAGTCCTTGGGCCCCTGCACCCATGTGTGAGACCCAGAAGAAGCTCCTGGCTCGTGGCTTCAGATTGGCCCAGCTCCAGCCATTTTGGCCATCTGGCAACTGAACCAGCAGATGGAAGACCCCTCTCCCTCTCTCCCTCCCTCTCTCCCTCTGCCTCTCTGTAACTCTGCCTTTCAAATAAATAAATCTTTAAAACGAAAAATGTACTCTGTTAGGGGCCAGCCAGTGCTGGGGTGTAGTAGGCTAAGCCTCCGCTGGCAGCACTTGCAGAAGAAGCTCCTGGCTCCTGGCTTCAGAGCAGCCCAGCTCCAACCGTTGCCGCCATTTGTAGAGCAAACCAGCGCATGGAAGACCTTTCTCTCTCTTTCTCTCCGCTCCCCCCCCCCCCCCTGCCTCTCAAATAAATAAATAAGTCTTTTAAAAAAACAAAAGGTACTCAAACACAAGATCATTAGCAATTCTACATCAATTTATATTATAAGATCAGAAACAAGTTTAAACCCATTAAATGTTAGAAAAAAATCTTTTTCTATTTTAAGGAAAATAATCTATTGGGTAAACAACTTTCTTGCTTTCCTAAACAGTTTTCATCTTTAATTCACAAGAGACATTTGCTAGAAATACTAAATAAAAATGATTAATAGTGTTAATTAAGGCTTTTTATATCCTTCCTTCCCAAAAAAAGTTATATTTCACATTATTTCTATTACTAACATTTACATCACAGTATCACTTGTCATTTTTTAGCAAAATTACTTGCCATTATTTCATAAAACCTCTAGAAAACTTCTTGACTAATATCCTCTCATGAAACTACGTTAAATTAAACTACTTACTGCAAACAGCCCACTCTTACTGCTACAGGAATGTGGGGAAGTTGAGTGGCCCACTTCAGTGTCACATCCTGATAAATATGTAACATGCTATTATGGTTTCCAATCAAAGTATTTATTGTTCCTTCAGATACTGTAGATGGAAGACACAGAAAGAAGACACTAAGAAAACAGTCATTTGAAATAGAATATTTTATGTCATCTAGAGGATTTACAAAATAAACTAATTCTAATATCTTGACTTTAATACATAAAGATTTTAAGTAATACAATATTATTTTTAAACTTCAAGTTACTAATATTAAAAAGAAACAAGTCATCTTATGGACTTGGAAACTACAGATAATGGCCAACATTTTTGCATTTCATCCAGAAAGCATGAATTTCATTAACATGCAATGCATTTAAGCTAATGATTTACTGGGCATGCATTACAGATAAGTGATTCCAACAGACATTATGATTCTGCTTATAAAAGAGTCTGATGTTCTATTGGAAGCACCTTGAACAGCACATAACGGAAAGTATTAATGTACGCTGGAGGCCAATTCTACAAGTCACTCTGCACAAAGTAAAGCGACTGACAAAACCAAATGTGTGTTTCATATCAAACTTCTACTCAAACTTTGAAAGTTAAAATTTCCATTACATATTCAGTATAAAATTATCCTCCTAGATGTTTAAAATACAATCTATGAGTGTGTCTTTTCCCGATGCACAGAGTATAGCCTTGACACATAGAAAAGATTAAAAAAAATCTTAATACACACCTGAGCAATATGGGAGAAAGCAACTTGGGCTACAATCAAGTTTCTTCATGAATCGAATTTGTCCATTATCCTTAAGACAAAAAAAGTTTCTCTCACCAAGAACAAAAACAGAAGATACCGACTGATTGAAGGAGACGATACATATGTCAAGGGCTTGCTCTCCAATATTTAGAGTCCAATCCACCTGAAAAGCACAACCCCAGATCAATCTAATTGCTAGAAACAGGACATTCCAGTCATCTAATACATCTAATGTATGTAAGAAATAACTTTACATCAAAGCAGAAATATAAAGGTTGGCCAATCATTTCCTTTCTTTTGTGTGTATGTGTGTGTGGTTATAGTAGGATTTATCCATCTCTTACTAGATGATGTTATCTATTTAGTGATTCAGAAAAACTCATAAAAATTATCTGCTTCCCTGAAAAACTTTCATAATAAGACTATGTTTTTGCTTTGAAAATCAACTTTAATAATCATTAAGACTATAGCCAATACTGTTGTAAATAAAGCAACAACTTCAAATATGCCAATCAGCATGAACAGAGCAGCCATCAAAGAATGACAGTATTGGAAACAGAATCCTTAACATACAAGAGCTATTCCAGAACAACTCCATATCTTTAGAACCTACTCAATGGTCAATGAATTCTTCCTAGAATAATGAAGGAATGAATTCAAAGTGGCTATGTAAGAGCTCCAAATCTGTCCTCTAAACCATTAATACATATAAATCAGAAATATGCAAAATATATATATATACCATTTTGAAAAACACTGGCTGACCAATATATATTGTATATGGCTTTGTCAGTGGTATGGCTTCACAAAAAAAAAAAAAAAAAAAAAAAAAAAAAAACCCTCTACAAAGAAGTAACTCTGCCCTCAAAGTCAGGTTATAATCTACAAATAACAGAATGAAGAAAAAAGCTGCAATACAGACATAGGTTGGAGGACAGACTTTTGGTCTGGCAGTTAAGGCACCAGGTAAGACTTTCAAGTCCCATATTGGAGTGCCTGGATTTGCTGCTCATCCCCGCTACTGATTCCAGTTTCCAGAGAGTACAGACTCTTGGAGGCAGAAGGTAATGGCTCAGATGGCTGAGTCTCTCTCAGCCATTTGGGAGACCTGAATTGACTTGGCCATTAAAAGCATTTGGGAAGTGAATCAGTGGATGATAGAGTTTTCCCTTTTTCTCTCTGTCTCTGACATTCAAATTTTTTAAAGTGATACAAATGGACTTCTGGCCATTAAGACACAATTTTAGGTATTTATCTACTTTAGGAATTAAAATATCTTTAGAATGAAATATGAAATCAAAATGGTACTGGTCAGAAAGGCAGATATTGTCAGTGTGTATGTAAGAATAATCTGTAGCAGGGCAGGCACTGTGGCAAGGCAGGTTAATCACTGTTTGTGATGCCCGCATCCTCTATCAGAGTGCTGGTTCAAGTCTCAACTATTCCACACCTGATCCAGCTCTCTGCTAACACAGGTGGGAGGCAGCAGATGATGGTCCAAGTTCTTGAGTCCCTGCCACCCATATGGGATACCAAGATGGAGTTCCTGACTCCTGGCTTTGGTCTGGCCCAGTCCAGGTTATTGAGATCATTAAGGGAATGAATCAGGGGATAGAAGATCCTTCTTCCTCTCCTCCTCCTCTTTTCCTCACCTTCTCCCTCCCCTCAAATTGAATTTGTAGAAATGAAAACTATACCAAATTGAAACTAATACCAAAGTGGACACTGTAGATAAAAAGATACAAGATCTTGAATTCATAGCAAAAAAAAAAAATTATGTCCAGTAAAAGAGCAGAAGAAATAATTTTCACAAAGTGAAAAAATCTGTGAGCTCTGAGACAACTCTGTCACTCTACCTTTCAAAAAAATAAATAAACCCTTTTTAAAAAAAAAAATAATCTGTAGGAGGGAGACCATGGCAAACATAGGTAGATATGCCAGACCATGTTAAGCCAAACTACAATTCAACACTGAGCAATCATTCAATTACCATTTGATTCAAGTATATCTTACCTATATGAAAAGATCCCGCTGGAAACAGACAGGAATGTCCATCCCATGGCAGTTACATTTCTCATTACACTGTAATACATAAGCTGTCTAGCAGTTGTGTCAATGTCTATAAATCAAACTGATACGGACCTGACTCTGGGAGATGAGGATTCATTCAGAGTAGACAGGCAAATCAAGTTTCTGAGGCCACTAAATACTTTAAATTCACTAGCTACTGTCACTCCCTATGACCTCTCCTTGGGGAAATTATATCACATTCTGAATTAATGAGTCTCATAAAACACAGATGGTTTACTAAGGACAACAATAAAAAAAAAAATTCCTCCACTTCTAGCCAAGATGGAGTAATAGGAAAAGGATTTACCACACCACCTGAAACAACCACAAAATGGACAAAATATATGAAACAACAATTTTCAAAGACATGGACAAAAAGAACAGTGATCTCTTAAAAATGGAAAACAAATGAGGTAAGCGATATGATTGCTCCAGGCTTGAGAGAATTTTCAGGCCATGGGACAGGGAAGACAAACCCAAGCAGAGCCCAGGATACTCAGAATCCAGAGAAACCAAGACAGCTAAGAATGTACACGACAGGGGGCTGGCGCTGTGGCCGCTCTGCCTGTGGCCCCGGCATCTGATATGGGCAAAGATTTGAGTTCCAGCTGTTCCACTTCTGATCCAGCTTCTTGCTGATGGCCTGGAAAAGCAGTGGAAGATGGCCCAAGTCCTTGGGCCCCTGCACTCAAGTGGGGGACCCAGAAAAAGCTCCTGGCTTCAGATTGACCAAGCTCTGGCCATTGCAGCCATTTGGGGAGTGAACTAGTGGTTGGAAGACCTCTCTCTGTGTATCTCTCCCTCTCTCTAACTCTGCCTCTCAAGTAAATAAATAAGTCTTAAAAAAATGCACATGACAGCATATCAAAGAGGAGAAAGTTGCATAGACACAGAAGTCTGGAGGTGTACAGAGCTCCCCTCAAACATTTATGAATCAGTGCATTCATGTAAGGAAGCACCCAAGGCCAGGGAAAGAACAACCAAAAGGATCAAAGGTAACAGTGCCCAGCATTCACAACAGACATAAGATACAACCCTATTCCTACCAGCCAGGCTAGAACTGAGCTGAGTACTCGGAAGGATCTTACCTCAGGTGTGGAAAATAGTATCCCAAAAATGAGCACTGCTTTGTCTCCACCTAACAAGCCTTAAAAACAAGACTCAAAAACAGGGGCCGGCACTGTGGCACAGCGGGTTAATGCCCTGGCCTGAAGTGCTGGCATCCCATACGGGCGCCGGTTCTAGTCCTGGCTGCTCCTCTTCCCATCCAGCTCTCTGCTATGGCCTGGGATAGCAGTAAAAGATGGTCCAAGTCCTTGGGCCCCTGCACCGGCGTGGGAGACCCAGAAGAAGCTCCTGGCTCCTGGCTTCGGATCGGCACAGCTCTGGCCGCTGCGGCCAACTGGGGAGTGAACCATCAGATGGAAGACCTCTCTCTCTCTGCCTCTCCTCTCTGTGTATAACTGACTTTCAAATAAAAATAAATAAATCTTTAAAAAAAAAAAAAAAAGACTCAAAAACATCAAACCGTTTCCAATTAACTGGTCCCAGGGCTAAACCCACAAAAACTTGCAAGCCTACAAAAACATCCAGCCCCAACTAAGTCAAATGGACTGTACATGGCATCTAACCAAAAGCTTTTAATCATCAAGCATGCAAAGAAAAAAGGAAAATGTGACACACAATGAGGGAATAAACAAATCAACTGCAACTAACCCAAAACTGACACAGGTGTTAGAAAACAAAGACATCAAAGCAAGTATTATAACTGTATTCCATATCTTCAAAGAATGAAGAGAGACATGGAAGATACAAAAATACTCAAATTAAATTTGTAGAGATGAAAACAATACCAAATAGAAATTAATACCAACTTAGACACTGTAGATTAAAAAGATCCATGGTCTTGAAAACACAGCAAAAATCATTATGCCAAATTAAATAGCAAAAAAAAATAAATTTTATAAAATGATAAAAAAAAATCTGTGATCTCTAAGATAACAAGTAGCCTCTCTCTTTCCATACATACACACACACATACACACACACACACACATGTATGTATAGCTGGATTCTCCAAAGGATAGGAGGGAAAGAGAGCAGAAAAATTATGTGATGAACTAGTAGCCAAATATTTTTTAAATTTTATGAAAACTACAAATTCATACATGTAAGAATCTCAAAAAAACCTGAGCAAAAAAAGAAAAGTATACATCATAATTTAGTAGTTCAAAAAAGTGATAGAAAAAATCTCAAACATAGCCAAGGGGAAAATACACTGTGTACAAAGGAACAAATACAAGGATAAAAACAGATGTCTCATCAGAAATATAAGTAAGGACACTCACAACCTCTTAAAGTACCAAAGGGAAAAAATTGTCACACTAAAATTCTATATGCAACAAAATATTTTCAAATACAAAGAAAAATAGTTTTTCAGACATATGAAAACTGAAAGAGTTCATCACCAACAGACCCACACTGAAAGAACTGTGAAAGAAAGTCCTTCAAAGGAAGGCAAGAAAATAATACCAGATAGAAATATAGAAATACATAAATTACAGAAGAGTACTGGAATAATAACTACATGGGTACAAACATGATTTTTTTTTAAAAATTTATTCATTTATTTTAAACTCTGAGTTACACAGAAAGAGAAGGAGAAGCAGAGAGAGAGAGAGAGGTCTTCCATCCACTGGTTCACTCCCCAATTAGCCTCAAGGGTTGGAGCTGCGCATTCCAAAGCCAGGAGCCAGGAGCTTCTTCCAGGTCTCCCATGCTGGTACAGGGGCCCAAGGACTTGAGTCATCTTCTACTGCTTTCCCAAGACATAGCAGAGAGCTGGATTGGAAGTGGAGCAGCCAGGACTCCAACCGGCGCCCATGTGGGATGCCGGCACTGCAGGCAGCAGTTTTACCTGCTGGCCACAGCAACAGCCCCCAAACGTGACTTTTTATTATTTAAATCTCATTCAAAAAAACACTGAGTATATAAACAAAAATAATTACAACAGAATATGGGGTTCACAGTAGATGTACAAATAAAATACATGACAATAACACAAAGGCTGGAAGGTGACAAATGCAAGCAAGG